TCCACAGCCGAAATCTGCTGTGGCTGCAGGAGCAGGGCCTGCGGGCGCTGGGTCAGGGCGAGACACCAATAGCTAATGCCCTGAAATTTCACCACTGCTGCTCACGTTGGTCTAATTCGAATTATTAAAGAATAATCAGTCTCCAGGGCTGTCAAACCACAGTCGCTTTCAGCAGTCTTGAATTTTAACACTGTGTGTTTGTCTTCCCCCCAGGTTTTTGTTTTATTTGTTTTTAAAGCAGCAGGGGATTCTGAACTGTACACACTGTGGAGAGAGGCAGAAACAGGCGTTGGAGTGGGTGTTCTTTGTGCGCTGCTGCAGTCACTGCAGAAGCTGGCAATAAGCTTGTAAAAGCTACCATTTGATACCTAGCTTCATTCCTTTCATCCATATTTTCCAGCTGCTCTGCCCTTTGGGATTTACCTGTGTTTGTGCTAGAAGCAGCCCACTCACCAGAAACACTCCCTGCCAGTCAGAGGGAGAAGAAGGAGCAGTGGGAGTTTGGGCCTCTCAGAAAACACTGCACAGGATTTTATTTATGTATTTAAACTATCAATCGTATACCTTGCCATAAAACTGGGAGCAGATTATGACTGGTATGAAGGATACGAGCAGTGTTGTTTTGAGAGGTATTTCTGTGAAACGGGCTCAGTTAATTAGCTGAGGTGAGCGCTCCCAGCCGCTGGGCAGTTGGGCTGTTAATGGAAACATACACCCCCTTGGACTGACTTCGTGTTGCTTCCTCAAGAAATGTGCCCAGCCTTTCACTCAATAACTCAAGGTATTTTTCTGATCGCATTTGAAAAAGAAAACGTGTAACATCATTTTGACAGCTACAGGAGGAGGATGACTCGTGACACAAAGCCTTCAGCCTCTCTCACAGTCCTGTCCTTGGGTACCAGGAAGTCCCAGGAGGAGGGAAATCCAAGAACTCGTGCGGTTGGTGGAACAGGATGATAAGCAGATGTGTGCAGTCCTTAGCTCATTAACTATGTTAGCTATAGCTAATTAACGATAACTAATTTGGGTCCTCACAAACTAGCAAGTATTAATTAGAGAGTAAGACTGGAAAAACAAAAGCGAAGACTCGACCAAATGGGGCAAGATTGAGGAGGTACCTCTTTTTGGATATCAGGAGCCTCTTAGGTATCTAGGAGCACTGGCCACTACTAAATTGAGGGGCTAGGGCGAGAGAAAACCAACAAGTCAGGCACTTCTTTGAAGAAGGTGTTTTGCTTCCTAAATGATGATGGTGAGGATGAGAAGGAAAGGATGCTGTGGGAGACAACCTACGGTGAAGTAGTCTGTTACAAAATATGCTCGTTACAGCCAGAGCTGGACCCAGCTTTCAGAGCAGCCGATGATTTCTTCACCTACAGAATACGCAGTATCACTGCAGTAGCTTTATATCAAAGTATACAGGAAATATCTTCCTTCTAGAGACATTTTGTTTCTCTTGGATGATGTTAAATTTTGCTTCCTTTCCCCGTTCTTTGTTCTCAGTGGTCCTTACATGGATCTCATACATTTTGAAACTGTCTGAAAACACTGGAGACTGTTGGGAGCCTTGCTGGCCTGGACAGGCGCCAGAAAATATATTGCTGAATACTGAAATCACAGCATCTGAGATGATTGCTGCAACCCCCTCACATCCCTTTGGTTTGGCTGAAACTCCCAGTGCCCTGGAGGTATCTACTGTGTTGAAGTGGCTGGGAAAGTAGAAAATAATAGCAGCTCATAGGTCAATTATAACATAGCATGAGAAACTCAGCCACATGGTATAAAAATTAAAATAAACCAATTGGATTTGCCTGAGTTCTGAACACTCACTGGAGTACAACTGAGGGGCAGCAGGACTGGGGCAAATCGTACTTCCCAGTTAGACTTGAAGGTAGAAATCATGCAATGGGCAGGTTTTTTCTGTGGGAAATATTCACTGATATCACAGGTTCAGAATGGCTGTTTCACTGTCACTCAGTGCTTCCTGTCTTTTTCAACAAACAAATGTCTATTTCTGTTCATTTAATGGCAAAAACTTGTTTCAAGAGCTAGCTGAGCTTTAGGGGGAGAGCGGCTGTGATTGCATTTTGTGGACATAAAGTCCAGAAATACTGTAGGTTATTTCAGCACCTGAGTATCCAATCTGCAGATCTGTCCTTTTCTTTCTCTTAAAATTCTCAGAGAAACATCGTTTGCCCTAGAGATTGCTGTGTGCTCCTTCCAGTGCAAGTGACAACAGCACACTGTGCTTTCATTAGCTTTGTGCTGCTCTCTCTCTCTAAGATAGATATATATATCTTCAGATAACAGATCTGCTGCACTAATTATAATTTCATCATATGGAATAATTCCAGGTACTGGAGAGTTGCATTAGCATCTTTTTTTAGTTTTATAGTTTATACTGAAGCAGAAACTATTTCCTTAAACTCAGACCTTCTGTAATTTAGCAAGTGCTTTAAAAGTGAGCATGCAGAGCTGTGTGCCAGTCCCTGGCTGCAGCGGTCAGCCTGGTAACTGAACTCTACAAAAGAGGGTCACGTCCACAGAAAGCTCAGGTTTGTGTATGCCCACACAGATACCAGTTCAAGGATGTTCCTCGGAGAGGCTGATCCCAAGTGGCACAGGTTTGCTTGTTCTCCACTTTGTAGAGAAGAAAGGCGTGAAGGACACACCATGCACATTAGCTTTTAAATATGTGGAAACCCATTTCACTGTTCTCCTAAAGGAAGAAATGATGCCTACCAAGTTAAAGGTCAGAAATTCAACATTTCTCATGAAATGTAAATGTTTAAAAATTTAAAGAATGTGTGGATTTTACATAAAAATTCTGAGAAAGTTTGTAAATGGCTCTTAGCCAGTGCTTTGGCCAGGGACCTGGTCGTAACCGCAAGGAGCACAGTGTCAGGGAGCTGGTTGTTCAGCATCCCCAGAAGCCCAGCAGATGGCTGGCCAACAGTCCTGCTCTTCCTCCCCTTGCTCTGGAGACACATCCTGTGCACACCCTGCAGCCAGCCCCGACTGAGGAACACAGGTGCCTCACCTGAGATGGAAAGCACACAAATGCTTGGTGACAATTACACGGTGACAGCAATTCCTATTCAGCGTGTAGAAATCGTGATTCTACTTACTCATTTTGAACCTGAGCGTTGCAGCACCATAAAAAATATTAATAATAACAATAAAAGTAGCATTTGTTAATCACTTGTACCAATCTAAGATTAAGCATGCTGCTAGGCAAATGCTTCTTCTGCTCGTTCAACTGAACCTCTTTGGTGTCTCCTCTCTCTTCTGAAGTGCTGAGAAAGAGGCATGAACTGACTTGAAATCCCAACGCGTTCTGCTGCTGGAATGATAACCCTACACACACTAACATTTGCTTAAATGTTGTGATTTATGAGTTGCAGAGTAACTGACAGGCAAGAAAACATCTACTATATTTTTTAGCTCTTTCTGAATACTGTTGGGAAGACTCTGGGTTGCTATTGAAGTTTATCTGGTTTGGGTTTGGATTTTTGGATTAGAAATCAAAGCCAGGCATGTTGGGAGAATTATTATTTCCATCTCTGATTGGCACATCTGCACATTAGCTTACATAAAAATTTTTGCTTGGGCGTTCTAGTTAAAATTCTTACACTTGAAAGTGTCATTGCATTGGCATGTATTTATGGACCTCTGAGAACGAAGTGGTCTTGAAGACATTTTCCAAGCGATGAAGCATACTCTTAGAAACATTCTAAGTTTCACAGAACATAAGGCACTTCATGAGAAAGCAGCACTAGTCTCCTCCTTTGCTTAGGGCTGTGATTCATGTTTCTTATCACTTGTAATTACACTGCATTCTCCACCCCTGCCTGTTTGTCTCTTAGCAAAGAGAGCAGGCTGTTAGCGCGCCCTTTCCTCAGTCCCTGTAGTTCACTCACTGATGTATTAAGATAAGACTGAAGTTGATGACAATTCTAGTCGGTCCATTAATTTGCAAACTGCAGCAGCTAAGGAACACCCGTGCCCTTCTCCTCTCTGGCTGCTCAGGCAGAACCTCTGACACAGGGCGAACCGCAGCTTAGTCCCACAGAGGTTCCCGTTCAGAGTCAGTCAGAAAAAACAGTATCTTGGAAAAGCGGACTTTTACCAAGGAACCACTTTAAATAATGAGAATAACATACCGCAGCATGTCTTGTTAGCACAACATGGGCTGACATCTGCAAAAGCTTTAAAAAGCTTCTTTATCCCCTGGCAAGCTGTCTGCCACGAAACAGGGGTTTCACCTTTGGCTGGACCAAACAAACTTGTCTCCTCATTTCAGCCTAAATCTGAGCAGGGCGTTGAATAACAGAATTTTAGCAGACAGTTTTCATGGAGGGCTTGCCACTCTTAAAAATACAGGAACTTCCTCCTGCTCCTGTTTCTAAATACCAGCCATTACTTCATAAAAAACATGAATGTACAAAGAATATGATCATAAGCAATTATTTATATTAGAAATTACGCATATTAACTCTTTAGCATTCATTATTCTAAAGTAGATGCCAGTATAGAATTATTAATACTCTTCAATCATAAAATCACCCCTAATCTTGAACACAACAAAAAGGTTTTTAAATGACTGACTAAGAAGGGGACCAAAATCAAGTCCTAAAGTCTTCTAAGACTAATATGCATATTCCTGGTCTCTCCCAGTGCCCAGCAGAGCCATAGAACGAAGGAAGTAGTGAAAATATCCAACAATTTTCTGTATATAGGCGAGGGAAACCAGCGTCTGCTAGAGAAAGACCATCTCATGGTCTCTGGCACACAGAAATACTGTTTGTGACTGTCTATCTTTCAGTATGATTTCATGATAAATCTATATTCGGTGGGTGTGCTCTGGCTCAGGCTGTGAAAGAAGAGACGCGCTGTTAGAAGCTCGTATGTACTCTAAGTGCAGAGGTTTGAATGAGTTATTTGCATCAACTGTACTGATGTTACATCAAAAATTATTGCAGAGATTAGGAAAATAATGTTTCTGAACCTTTCAGCCCACCATGAGTGTGGGAAAATGGAAAATTTGCAGCTTTCAATTAATAGCCTAATGATGTTTTTATGAAAGCAAATGAAAGAAGTACAACTATGTGAAGTTAGTGGTTCCAGACTGATTATTCAGGCTTTGTTCTGTAACCTTTCTGTAACCCTTCTAGATCTGTTCTTGCTTCCTCTCCCCTGCCTTTTTTTTCCCTCCTCCACTCCTGCTTTTGAAGATGAGATTCTTTTCAGATATTTAGTATTTGTGGATTTGTGGGTTGCTTAGCCCATCCCTCCAGTACCCAGGGACTTCAGCGCGTCTCCAGAAGTTCCATGTGGTGTACACCTGCTATCAACTGAGATTCTTCAACAACTTGTAGGAGAATAATTTATGACATCAGTCTAAACATCCCAGGCGTCTTGGGGATGTTAGCAGGCAGTAACAAAGCATGTCCTTTCCTGATAATATTGTTGAATATAACCCGTTAAAGAACAAAGCATGCCAGACTGCAGGGAAATAAAGAGAACTCCCTCTTAGTATTTCCTGGGGTGCGGTGGTACAAATTATCATCTCTCGTAGAAAAGTACCATAGATACATACGAGGAAGATTGTCGAGCTGTTTCTCATTTTTGTAACTCCATGGGTCATGTTCCAAACATAATGCAGTAAAAGAATCATGCTGAGAGTTTTCTCCATTTCTCAGTGATAAAATGAATGGCAAATCAGGCTCTGAATCATGAAGATGACAATGACGACAAGATGTTACTTATCTGGTGGAAATGGGCACAGCTCCTTTGTCACCAGAGCAACTACAGCACTGAGCATCACAAACTGTGTGTGTTTGTGGGAGCTAACCAACACAATATGGGAACAGGCAGGAAAATAAGCTATAAGCTGGGGACATGTTTGTATCAGCTGGTAGGTAATCAAAAGGTTTTTAGAGAGCCAGTGTAGTTACCAGTTAATTCTGCCAGTTGAGCCGAGTGGCTGCTACTTTATAATTTGGGTGAAAGCCTGAGCCGACTGAGCAGAAGCTGTGATCCGCTACAGAGAACTTCTGACGTAAGCAAAGGGTTTGATTTTTGTGCTGCTGTTTATTGCTTTGCATCAAGAGATGTATTTTCTAAAACAGAAGAGATATGGAATATCATTTCACTTGGCTTCCGAAATACACAATATTTGTGATTCTCCCAACAGGAGGACTGTGCCATACGGGCTCTCCAACTTCAGAGGCAGTTTTAGAGGCAAAAGGTCTACAGGGCAGATGCAAAGCACTTTCCAGTCCTCATTTCGGTGTTCTTGTTTGGATGCTCACGACAAACAGTGTCTGCAGTTTTGCAGAATAACGCAAGACAGGAGACGGTGAGTACCTTTTTTTAATATTGCAAACTGTCTACATGATTTGACTATTGAATGGAGATCAATTAATCAAGTTGCACGTGTAAAATGAAACGAATTAACAAATATATTGATTTTAAAGAAAACTCTCATCTCCAGTCGTGGTGGGTTAACCCTGGCCAGCAGCCAAGCACTGACACAGCCACTGGTTCATGTCCCCTGACGGGGGAATGAGTAGGAACAACAAAAGCCAGAAAAGCCAGGTGTCACGATCAAGAGAGTTTAACAGACAGAGGCCAGACCCAGCACACGCTGCTCTGAATTTCCCTTTTGCTGCTTCTTTTTACGATGTGGTAGCTGTGAAACAGCAGATCCCCTGGCCAGTCAGGGGCATGTTTAATACTGCACTGTTTTTAAACGTTTTAGGTTTTATCTGGTCTAATGAAGAGTGTGACATTGTCATTTTACGAATGGCTTGTACAGGCAATTGATGAGAACACAGTGACGAGCTTAGAAAATCTCTCTTCCCCAGAAATCATGGATCAGTAAATGAGACAGAGGAGAAAGACCAATGCAGGGAAGAGGAACACACTTTCATCCAATAGCACAGAGAGTTTGGAGGATTCTGAACAGTCAGGTATGCTACAGATGTTTAACATTGAAAAGAAGTATTAATTTTCCTTAAGTTTGCTTTGTATTTGCAGAACTCTAAATTCTTCCAACTGAATACTATCAATTCTTGCTAAATAAGGGAAGCATTTGGCCCATTAATTGTTTCTTATTTTTTAAAATAATCTTTAGTACACACAGAACGACTACAATCTACCTCATGCTGATAGAGCTCCTTCAGAAGTTGGATTCTTTGGCTATAAGCCAATACATATTTTGGCAACAGTCCCCCTTTTTTCTTTTTTTTTTTTTTTTTTTTTTGGGGAAGGGGTGTTTCTGTTTTTCACTTCGAGAAGGCGAGAGGGTGGGAAGTATAAGTGAGATATTCATGCATTCACAGGCATTTCGTAGACAGCACAAGTAGTTCTCGGCCAGCTCAAGCTTCTCTGCCAATGGAGCCGGTAAGCGT